TGAGTTAAACAATCCCTGCCCACCTACTTTATGGATGAGGAGACTGAGGTCTGAGGCAAGATCGGCTCTTCATCAAAACGGCCATTGTTCACAAACTTGTTCTTCCCCAGCCCCACCTGCCTTTCAGTGGTTATGCAAAACAGGTGAATTTAAGGACTCACTTTTACCTCTGTCTCAAACTTTCTGTCTCAGACTTTCAATGGCCATTGTCAAGACCCTCAGATCCTGATTCTTTCACAAGAAAATGAGAAAAGGGGTGAAAGGGGAAAGCCAAACCAGTCCACAGGGCGCCTAAGGGCTTGGCTGCTTAGGAGACACCTGCAGAATCTGGAAGAGGGGGGAAGCAAGACCACGTGCGTGGGGTGGAGCACGCAGCCTGGCTCCTGGTGGGCAGCCGTGGCCACTGTGGAGTAGGATCGAGGCGGCTGTGAAAGCGCTAACAGGTGTCCGGGCAGGCCCGGGCTGAAGGGCAGGAGAGCTGAGTTCTGGTTCTGCTCACCCTGGGGCCTTCTGGGCCCCTCTGAACTTCAGCCTACCTGTTAAGTGGAGGCTCAAGCCACATTGCCTCAGGGTTGCCCCAACGAAGTTCTGAGAAGTTCTGAGAGCCCCGCCTGTCCCATGGCTTTCCCTAGCACAGAATAAAAATGATAAGTGAATTACTGCTGTTTCCAGCAGAAAGTCCTTCACCCTCGGGGCCGGCTCGTCCGCTGCCTGGTTGGGGATGGAAGGCTGAGGTTGGCTGGGGGATATCAGCAGAGTCCTGTGTAGCGGGTGAAGGGCACCGGAAGGGGGTGGTTTGGAAGGCTCTGCTGTCTTGCCGCACAGCCAGTCAGTACCTGGAGATGATGGTGGCTTAGTCCTCATGGAGGACCCAGGCCTCAATTTCAAGAACATTCATTCTGTTACCAGGTGGCACCTGGTATCTCCTCTCTGGGTGGATGTAACCACAGCTTCCTCACCAGCCTCCATGCCTCCCGGGCATCTCTCTGTACTGCCACCTACTTCATGAAGCTTTCCTTGAACCACTCAACAATGCCTGGCACATAGTGAGCACTTGGAAAGGTTACAAGAGTCGAAGAAGCATGATAGAAGTAACCTCACCCTGCTCTGAGCCCCTGTGGGGCAGACCTCAGGCCTCTGTAGCCTTGCCTTTAACCCATTCACTTGACGGGGGACGCGGCAGCGAGGATGCTCCAGCATAGGGTCTGGTGTGCGGTATGTGCTCTGCACACCCACACAAAATCCCTCTGCTTCAGTGAGCGCCTATATTTTAAACAGCAGAATGAGCCCAGGCTTGGAAGTTAAATTCACTCATCACCACCCACCTATCCAACAAATATTTACTCATTCTAGGCCCTGGCAATGTGGCCAAGATAGACCAAATCATGCCCTCATGAAGCTGAGCACAAAATGAAGTGATCAATTATCATCACAGGGCACTGGACACTAGGGTGTGGGTGGCCATGGCTGCTGGCTTGCTGCGTGGTCTAGGCGAGTCCTTTCCCTCCTCTGGTCCTTGGCCCTAACTTGTAAGGCAACTTGTGTTTGGAGGGAAATACCTGCTGAGTAAAAGGGGGAAACATCCTCTGTTTTCTCTGCTGGCGAGCGCAGGTGGTCACAGGAGGGGTGCTGCCCTGCGTAGCCCCCTTTCAGGGTGCTCTTGTCATCCTGTTGGTTTTCAGGGTGCCTCAACTCTCCTCCGGAAGGAGCCTCCTGATGGGGGCCTGGAGTTCTGAGATGCTCCGGGCAGAGCTGTGGCAAAGGGCTTTTAGAAAAAACATTTCCTGGGGGAACAAAGCAGGTTTTTCTTCTTCCATCGGTAGAAGAATAGAGGTTAGAAGACACCTTACAAAAACAAAAGAAAAAGATCCCACTTTCCCCCTCAACCAAACCTGCCAGCCTGTCCCTACTTTACTGAGCAGAATTCATCCCTGTCTTCCACTTCTCGCCAGTGGAAAGTGTGGGTTGTTTTAAAAGGATTCACGTCCCAGGCCTGAAAAACCGGTACCGGTCACCTCAAAACGGTCTCCCAGGGCAGCTCTGGACCACATGTGTGTTTTCTGTGTCCACACAGTTTTATACATTTGAGCCAATATTTTTCAACATGGGATTTTTTTTTTGCATCTGCACCGGGTCATCTGGTTTCTCTGACCGCAGCGCCCCACCCAGCAGCGCCCCTCCCCCACCCCAGCTCCAGTTTCTGGCCCTGGAGGTATGGATGGTGCTGCAGGTGGGTCCCCACGTGGAAGTGCAGGGCAGGGAAGGCGATTCAGGAACTTCAGCTCAATGACCTTTCTTTTTCTACCTTGTCTGAGTCCTGTGATCCATCTGTACCTACTTGCTCGCTACGTCTCCTTGTAGGACATACCCCACTGGTGTCCCTGCCCCTCTCCCTAGCCATCGAGGGGCTCAGGAAAGGCGGAGAGACAATGGAGAATTTTTCTTCCCTCTCAACATTTCATTACCTCTGACCCTTGCCTGCCATTCGCTAGCCCACCCCCATCTTGGCTCTGTCTTGGGGTGCTGCAACCCCAACAATAACGTACACCTGGGCCCCTCAGACTTGGAAGCTGCAGACCTCACCTGGGTTCTTGTGAAAATGCCCCTTTCCACGCAGGAGGACTAAGGTGGGGCCTGAGGTTCCGCACTTCTGACCAGCTCTCAGCCAGTGCAGGGCGGCGATGTGAGGACCACTCTGAGTGAAGGAGGAGCCGCAGCTGCGGCCCCTTCACCGCCCCCCACACCCCCAGGCTGCCTTTGTAAACCAGGCCCAGGGCCTTGTAAGCATCAGTTTTCTAATCCTCACAAAAAGTACCATTACTCCCTTTTGGCACAAGAAACACTGAGGCCCTCTGATGAGCAGGTAACTAGCCCAAGGTCACACAGCTGGGAGGCCACTGAGCCAGGCCAGACCCTCTGGGCCAGTGCCGCCTTGGAGAGGGTGCTGGTGGGGAATCCCTTTTCTACTGAACAGCGTTCCTGGTCCAGAAGCCACAGGAGATTTTTAAAGGCGGCCAAGTCGGATGTAAATCAGGGAGAGTCCAGGGCTCGCCAGGCCCTGCCGACAGGAGGGCAGCCGAGGCAGCGGGTCAGGCCCTGGCCCGCAGCGGGATTTGGTGCTGGCGCGCTGCCTGGGGCCGAGAGCCGCGGGGGCGATGCTCACAGCTCCTGGAAGAGCGAGTTGGAGCCCAAGGAGGTTCTGAGTCTCTTACAGTCTCCCTGATACTTCAATGAACCTCGGGGTGGAGGGCTGGCTGGACGGATGGGCGATAAAATGGGCATAAGCTGGGTCCTGGTGCTTCAGTTGTTTAAAGTCTGCTCATCCTCAAACCACACAGGCACTTTCCTCCATTGGGCATCTGCTTTGAAGACCTAGCGGCCTGGCGTTGGTCTCCTGCTTGGCCGGGACTTTATTTTGCACTGGCACCTGCTCCAAGAAACTGGGAAGAGTAGAACAGATTTAGAGTCTAGGTCATCGAAATGTAGTCACTGGAGCGGCAGTCGGAATCACCTGGGAGCTTGTCAGAATGCTGACTCAGACCTGGGGTGGGCCCAGCTCGTTTTAACAACCCTGCAGGCTTAGCTCTGAGAAGGGCTGATTCCTCTGGCTGGCGAGGGTACGGCAGTCCTAACCTTTCCCATAGGCTCCCTGGGTAGCTAGGGTAGCACCATGGGGTGGGGGAGCGCCTCTGGTGTCATTTCTTCTGTACCCCACTTTCCTAATGGCCTGAGTGTGAGAGAAGGGGGCATGCGTTAAGTTACACAGCACATGCAAAGCAGGGCACAGGTCCAGATTCTTAGGGTTGCAAGCAGCAGAAATCTGTTCAAACTAACTTAAAAAAAAAACCCAACCAAAACAAACATTGATTGACTTCTTTAACTGAAAAGCCCCAGAGCGGCACATCAGGCATGGCTGCACCCAGGTGCTGAGAGCTGCCACTGGGGCTCCTTTCTCTGCGTTTCTGGATTCCATGTCCCTCCTCTTTGGTTCCATTCTCCTTGGGGTGCCCCCAGTTGCACAGGGTATTCTCCCTCCCAGCGTAACCAGCTCAGCTTAGAAAGAGCCTTGTTTTCCCCAATATTTTTTAGCATAATTCCTGTCATCATTCTCATTGCCCAGGCTTGGTCATGTGCTGTCCTTGAGCCAATTGGGACAGCCCCTCTGACTCTCTAGGCCTGGCTCACACGCCCACCCCTAGAAGTAGAAGGTGTGGTCAGCCCACCCAGAGCCTCATAGACTGAGAGACGTTCCAGTAAACAGGGAGCGCCCTCGAGCGCAGCTCTGCTGGTGGACTAAGAGGCAGAAGTGCTCTGTCCCCACTTGCATGTTTCCCAAACTGAGTTCCAAAGAACACAAGGTGTTCTGGTTTTTTTTTTCTTTTTGTTTATTTATTTGTTTTTTTTAAGGGCCTCTGGGGTCAATCACATGTGGGGACTGCTTGGCTCAGCAAAGTTCAACAAATTTTCTTGGCACATGAACCTCAGAGCCTCTAAATAGTTGATCAGTATTCTCCAAGTATCTGGGGTCCTCAGGGCCTCCCACAGCCCAGCTATCTAGCCTTGGCATGTCCCTTTGCTCACAAGGAATAGTCAGTCCCAGACCTGGGTGCATGACTGGGCCGGGTGGGTGCGCACAGGAGCGTGGACTTTAGAGTTGGGGCTGGGGGGCCCGCTTAGCCAGCAAGACGAGCCATTTCCTCCTGACCCTGGACTTGGCCATCTGCTTCTCCCAGAACAGGCTGCCTGAGGACAGTTTCAGGGACACCACATCGAGGAGAGGGGCGTGTGAGCAAGTGTGTCTGCGTGCAAGCGTGTCTGCGTGGGAGCACGGGAGTGTGTGCACGAGCCCCTTAGCCCCTTGGTTTTCCTGTCCCTGCTGGATGTTGATGGGGGCCCCTCCTAGTGTGTGTGAGTTGGGTGGTCTCATCTGGAAGAAGACTTTGAGTCACAGTCACGACCTGACCAGACCTTTCCCTCTTTGCTTCCTCTCGTTGTAATAGGTCCAGGACGACAGCCCTCTCTGAGGAGCCTCCAAACGTAAGTGGCACTGAGCTCTCCCTGCGACGACGGGTTTCACCAGTGCAGCAGTGGCCTGGGGTGGGGTGCAGGGGTTCGCTGTTTCCTCCAGGCTCTAGAGGAGGAGACAGACCCAGCCCCCAGGGCCCCTCGTCCACAGGTTGCCACCTCTGGGTGGTGGGTCCATAGCCAGGTTGGCCACCTGTGCCTGCCTGTGCCAGGGAGGCAGCCCTGCAAATGGGCCAAGCGCCGCTTTCGGAGTCCTGGCCTTGCTCCCATCCTGGCTTTGCCCCCAGCGGTGATGGCGGCCGTGCTGAGTTGATTCTGAGGATTGGGGCCAGACTCATGTGAGAGGGAGAGCTGCTTGGCTTCCGGCACACAGAGGATGCTCCAGGAATCGGGGCTGCTGTCCCGGTTTTCTCTTCATTAAACTTTGTATTTAAAAAAAATTGAAAACCTTCAGAAAAGTTGCAAGAATATTACAGTGAACTCTTGTATACCCTTCACTTAGATTTTCCCATTGTCAACATGTGCCATTTTTGCTTCATCTCTTTCTTTCTAGGGTATAAAAATAGTCACTTTAATATTCTCTCTCACCCCCTTTTTTTTTCCCCTGAATCATTGGGAGTTGTACAACCAAGATGCCCCTTTACCTCTAACCCTTCAGCGTGTGTTTTGCAAGACTGAGGCCATTCATTCCTTTGTGTAAGCACACGTAATTATCAATCCTAGAACTTTTAACATTGACACAATTCCCTTATCTAATCTACAGACCCAATGACGTTTAGCTTTTGCTGATTGTATCCTGATATTTACAGAAGTGTCTTTCCTCTCCTTAGTTTGGGATCATGACAGTGTTTTTAAAAGGGGTTTAATGGGGCAGAAACCTGACTCAGTCACTTTTCTGCAGATGCATCCTTTACTCTGATTTAAAATGTTCTTACTATTGGGCTTTCAAAGTCTTTTAGTTGTTACATTCAGTAAGAAATACATTTTGTGACAGCATGCCACATGTGCTCACACATGTGCACACGTGTGAAAATAAAACCACAGTTTCAAAAATAATAACTTATGTCCTCCCCGTTGGTGGGCTCCATTCTCTTTTGGGTTCTTGTGTAAAAATGATAGCCCTGACCCTCTCAGTTGATTTCATAAGTCACCAGTAGATTCTGCTCTGGAACTGGAAAATCCTGGCTTTCTGGGGAGTAGGTTCTCCTGGGGTGGGAGGGAGGAGAGGAGGTGATGCCCCTGACCAAGCTCCTACTGGTCCAAGGTTGGGCTTTGGTTGGTTTGGGGTCACCTAGGAAGCCAGAACTAGGAACAAAGGCCCGAAGACCCTTGGCCTGCAGCTGCCAGGGGTGGACCTGATTCTGTCCTTGTCATGAAGACTCTGTACCCTGGGTGCTCTGTCACAGCCCGCTTGACCATGTGGAGACCTGTTCTTCATGCTGTGACATCAGATGTAGACAAGCAGACACGTGTATCCCTGGTGGCTCGGAACTCCTCCCTGACCAGCTGCCAGTAGGCATGGAGGTGTATGTTCCACTCCATGTCACCTCCAGAGTCATCACCATAAACATCAGAAATGTCAATAAGAATACTCGCTAACATGTAATTCTTGAACAACATGCTGAATATGGGGCTGAGAGGTTTAATGTATTCTAGTGCATTTTGTCCTACAACACTCCTATGACTTGGGTATTGTTATTCCTTTTGTAAAAAGGACATTTATTGTCATTTCTGTCATTATTGACATTTATTGTCAACATTTATTGAGCGTTTACTCTGGATCAGGTGCTACTGGGCACTCTGCAGACTCATACATTCCTCACAGTGGCCCTGTGAGGTGGGCACAGGTATTTCCCCATTCGGAGAGGGAAGCTGAGGCTTAGAGAGGCGAGTTGACTCACCCCAAGGGCACACAGTTAGAAAGGATTTGAACCCCAGTTGACCTGACCCTAATGTCCGTGTCATCCAGCCCCACCTCCCCTGTCCCTCCTCCCCTAGTGGGAGCGGATGTCCCACTTCAGCCTCTTCCTGAGGCTCAGTCCTGGTTAATGAGTAGCCCAGGCAGCTGGAATCCAGGTGCCTGCTGTGGAGAAGCTGGAATGTGAGATAAAGAGAATATTGTGCTAGGAGCTTGACTCCCACCAGAGCTGATGACTTTGTAGGAAACAAACAAATAGAAGCCAGCCACTGTTCCTCTCTTCCAAGGCTTGCTGACCCATCCACATGGGATAGGAGCTCATTTTACAGGAGAGGCAGGTGAGGCTGAGAGATGGGTTTGCTATCTGGCCTTTCTGATGCCTCCTTCAAGTAGCCCTCCTGGGTTTACTTTTGACACGGTAGGCAACAAGAACAGAAGTTGTCGTTCCTAAAGTCTGAGCACTGCTGGGTTGCAACCCTCGCTGTGCTCTCCAGGTTCCCGTCCAAGAAAAGGGCAGATGCATTTAGGAGCTCCTCACAGTACTGTGCGCAGGCGGGAGAGGCTGTGTGATGTTTGTTGGTTGTTCAGCAGACTCTTGAGTTATTAATGAACCACCCAAAATACTTAGTATTCCAGATGGAGCTAGAGAGTCAGACAGTTCTAGATTCAAATGCTGGCTCTCCCCTGTGCCAGCTGTGTGACCTTGAGGAGAGAGTCACTGAACCTCTGAGCCTTAGATCCCCACCTGGAACCTGTATCGTGGAATAGCAACAGCACCCAGGAGGATCAGAAGGACAGCGAGTGCGGGATCAGGGGTAATGGTCACTTTGTCATCACAGTGGAGTTTTGAAGCACTCAAGGGGCCCAGCAAAACTACCATATTTTGCTGTGTATAATGTGCACTCATATTTTTGGCCCAAACTTTCAAGAAAAAAAAAAATCATTTTACTATCTAAATTCAATTGTTTATTTACTTATATTTAGAAACAGAACTGATTATCATATTCCAGGGTATTATTTTGCATATAGATATCAATTTATTTTCTAGACTTACACTTTTAATGCATAAGCATAAATACATTTATATAGATACGGAATTAGTACTACCCATGTGTAACATACATCCTTATTTTTCCTTCAAAAATTTGGGCAAGAAAGTGCACATTATACACAGTGAAATATGGTAGTTCCGAGAATCCCAATACATTTTCCCATTTCATCTCCCTGGCAGGATTCCCTAGAGCACCCTGCCCGCCCCCAGCTGAAGATCATATCTACCCACCTGGGTGTCTGGGATAATTTTAGCAAGAGGGGATCCTGTTGGGACTTGTGAGAATTCCCATGGGATGTTCCCCTCACCCCCTCCAGGTTGTAAGCTGGCAGGAAAAGACTGTTACTATCAAGATCTGTGACACGTTAAAGCCTCAAGTCAGCATAGCTCCCTCTAAGGACCAAGGCAAGGAGAATGGTATTTATTGTTTGTTACCTGATTTAAAAATTGAGATATATGTGACATAGAAAAAAATTGTGTAAGTGTGAGGTGTACAACATATTAATTTATTTGTGTTGCAGTATTGATTGCCATTGTACTATTAGCTAACGCTTTCATAGCATCACATACCTATTATTTTTTCTAGTGTTGGGAAGTAGTATCATTAGTACAGAAAATTTGCAGAGCACAGAAAAGTAAAAAAAAGGCAGTACAATTTATCCCAATTTCCACCATCCAGATATAAGTTGTTGGCCGTGAGACCAGCACCAGCTGTCAGACCGGTGGGGTCAGACCGGACCTCTGTTCAACGACCTCAGCACTTCAGTCTGGCTAAGAAAGAATTCAGAGCCAAGACTCAAACTATAAGAGAAAGTTTGTTTAGGTGGAAGAAGTGAGCCGTAGAAGAAATGGGCTCAGAAAACAAGTCACAGAGGCAAAAAAAAAGGAAAAATAAAGGACCCTCAGAACTTAGGAAAGAGATAAGGAAAAGGTACCTGGGGGCAGGGGGTGGCGGGGGGGGGGGGATTGGTGCCGGAGCTTTGGTTGGGCCCTCCACCTAGAGCGGGGTGTCTAGCCTGCGGCCTTCAGGCTGCATGCGGCCCAGGATGGCTGTGAATGCGGCCCAATACAAAATCGTGAATTTACTTAAAACATTACTTAGTTTTATTACTAAGTTTTACCCTCAGTTTTATTACTTAGATATGTATATTTTCTATTTTAGTGATTACAAACTTGGAACCTGCTCAACGATTTTAAAAAATTATCGAAAGGGCCGCTGCACAATTAGGGTTATTATGTGGGGACATTTTTGCTTCTCTGTGGTGGTGGATATCACAAAAATTATGCACGGATGTTCATCTGTTTTCATTAGTGTTTCTGTATTTAATCTGTGGACCAAGACAACGCTCCTTCCAGTGTGGCTCAGAGACACCAAAAGGTTGGACACCCCTGATCTAGGGTATTTCTCTGGAGGTCTCAGGGGAGAACATGCATCAGCTTTCCAGGTGTGTCCTTTCAGGGCCGTGGTCTCTACTGATAGGTCAGCGCCAGGGCAAGAGGGTCATTAGTCTGCAGCTGGTCCTGATGTCAGCCATTCCATTGCTTGTCTGGTTTTGCTGCTTTTCTGGGCCTGGAGCTGAAACAGAACTGAGGCCTAGATGCTGTCTCTAGGGGTTAATGCTGAAGGGAGTGTCAGCAAGGGCTCACAGGGAAGTCACATGAGGCCACTCTTAGGCTCCTGGTTTCTCCTCCAAGGGAGGTCTACCGCATAGCTAGCTACATGCCAGGGGAGGAAAGGTCAGGGGAGGGTGGGGACTGCGTGGCCATGGATATGAACGGTCAGAGGGTCTAAGCACATATGCTCGGGGAGCAAAGGTTACCCTGGGGGCGAAGTTCTAGTTTTGCCCATTGCTGGATATCGGGGGCTTTCCTCTCTGGCGACCTTCTGTGCCTGGCCCATCATCCTTACTTTGCTCCTGTCTGTCTGACTGCTTACCGTACAGCCGTGTGTTATTTTAAAACCGAAGATTTTCTATTACAATTGAACTCTCGGCTTGCCTATGTTTGGGAGCCAATTCTGCTCCCCCAACCTCCACCACTACT